AAAGCCTTTTAATAACAATATTTGCATTAATTCTCTGTAGTATGTATGAATCTAACAATTAGACTTCGTTGTACATGAAGATCTACATTTATTTCCTTCGAATCAGAATAAATTGGATTCTAAGCCCCAACTGGACAAGAGGAAAAGATGTAATCTTAGTCATTATTTTGCCTTCATTTCTTTAGAAGAAATGTGTTCCAATGGTCCTTCCTGTCTTTGGCCCACAATGCCTAAGCCCACGACCTCTTGAAATTTGACTCTTGCTTGGCTTCTGTGCTCCATGCAAGGGCTGGGGATCCTTACTGAGACCAGATGTGTTGGGGCTTGAGGGCAGGTCTCCTCAAGCTCATATACTACCATATCCTCCCAGGGCACTGACACAGAATATATTTTAGTTGCATATGTTAAATACAGCTCTTTTATTTTATTTTGTTTTTTAAAAAACTTTTTTCATTTTGATTTTTTTCCATGTAAAGGGTTGAAGGATGCTTGCCCTACTGCCCTAAAAATATGATCCTTGATGAGGTCACCCTCAAGTGTGTTTATCCAGCAGACTGTAAGTGTGAACCTTTACTTAACTGAAAAGTAAAACACTGGAATATTTGTTCTCTGTTTGGCAAGTGGTTGTAAACAGAAGTTTTAGACAGACAACAGACTCTGTTCAGATTCTTCATTTTTCTTTCTGTAGTTATTTTTGTTGTTGTACCTAATTACTTTCTGAATCATGTAAATCTGTCCTCTAACATCCCTCCTATGTTTTCTCTTTGAGTTATGTAGGTCTCCCTATAAGCAAATACAGATTAAGAAAGAGAATCTTTGTTTCTTTGCAGGCATACCTGTGATCCCCACAGAACCAGCATTAATACCACCAGGTAAGCCGTCTGTACCCATGTTTACAGGTATTATTACAATTTTAAACACTAAAATTAGAATTATATAATTTAAGTCTTGGCACACTTAGTATAGCTGTTGGTATTGGTACTACCCCATGTACTAGAAAACCCAGTAGTCACTTTTGCGTCATTAAGGAGCCATTCACTGAATGCCTTTCTGCATTTGGTCTGTCTCTTTCTCTATTTTAGTTAATGTAGATTATTAGGACTTCCCTAGCATCTAAAACCTAAAACCTAAATGTAGAATTTAGGTTTTACTAAACCTTGCTTAAATTTTCACAGTGAGTGAGTTGGCTCTAATGAGAGGTAGATGTAAACCGAGATTTCCTTCAGTGCCTCCACTTCTATTTTTGTGCTCTGCCCCAGTCTCTGGAGGAGGCATTTTGGGCTCCTATCCTCACTTCCCCTCCTCACTAGGAAACTCACCTCAGGACAGGATTTAATAAATCTACTCACAGTTAAGCTTGGCAAATTTAATGTATTATTTCTTCTGGGATTATAATTTAGAAAAGTTCAAGTTCAGGTATTTATCCTTTCAATTTATTTGACAAGCTTTAATTGAGTATCGACTGTGCCAGGCTCTTTCCTGGCACTCAGTGGGGATGGGGGACATGGTAAACATGTCACAGTCCTTACCTTAAACCAGCTGATAGTCCATAGGCTACTGTCATATTGGAATAGGGGTAAAAGTGAGGAGCACACAGGAGGGGTGTTATGCTTACTTTGGCGGTGTGGTCTCAGAAGGGTAACAGAAGGTAGCAATTGGGTTGGCCAGAAAGAGGAAGTGTGCTCTGGCTAAAAGGGACAGTGTGTGCAGAGGTCTGGAAGTGACAGAAAACATGTCACCTGAAGGGACTTCAAGCAGGTCAGTGCATCTTGAACATGCAGTGTGAGGGAATTGTGCCAAGAGATGGGATGGAAGAGATTAGCAGGGGCAGATCACAAAGGGTCTGTGGCAAGAAATCAGGATTTTTTGTTTTAAGGCAATGGCGAGTCATTAGGACTCACGCTTCTCAATTTCAAAACTTACTGCAAAGCTATGGTCATCAAGACATCTTGACTGTTCTAATTCTAGACCGAGATGATGCTTATAACCCTTTGATGATTTTTAAAAATATGGACTCCTTGGATGTTGAGGCCAGCCAACCTCCCGGTCATTAGAATTTTCCATGAGTTTGTGCTTGTATTGGACTAGAATTTTGTCTCGTCTTCCTTTGCCTAAAAGTTTATGGTGATGGAAATGAAGATATTTAGGTCTGTATTAAATATCACATTCTCTAGACGATGCAACATCTAATGTATCATGAGCATTGATCATAGGACCAAGGAATAGGAATTTTTGTTTTACTTTACCTGTTCTGCAAGTTAGGAACTATAAAATAAGTATAAAAATGGGGTTGTTTATAGAATTTATAGAATTTATTTAACTAAAAAAGTCAAAGTTTTCTCTTATATCATTGTGGTAGGCTGAATAATGGCCAAAGATGTCCACGCTGTATTCCCCAGAATTTGTGAATATGTGACCTTACATGGTGCTGGGACTTTACACACATGGCTAAATTAAGATGTTGACTAGTTTATGCTTGGATCTGGAGATGGGGAAATTATCCTGGATTATCCATATCAGCTCAATGTAATCATAAGCATCTTTATAAGAGGGAGGCAGGAGGGTCAGAGTCAGAGAAGGCAATGTGACAACAAAATCAGAGGAGAGAAAAAGGGAAAGAGAGAGATTAATTTGAAAATACGTTGTGGTTTTGAAGATGAAGGAAGGGACCATGAGCCAAGGAATCCAGGCAGGCCACAGAAATTGGAAGAGGCTAGGAAAGAGATTCTCTCTTAGGCCCTGTAGAAGGAATACAGCCCTACCAATACCTTGATTTTAGGACTTTAAAAAAATTAGTTATTTTTAAAAAAAATTTTTTTCCTTTTTGTCTTTTTTCGTGTCCGGCAACGGATCGCAACCCTCAGTGTCGTGCCCGTACCGGACCGGGACTGGCAACGGGATTGCAACCCTCGGTGTTG